TTTGAAACCTCAATCAAAGCCTCAGACAGACGGACCTAACAGAGGACCGAATGGAAGAGGAGAATTGAGGAGGCCATGGACCGAACAGACCAGAGAGCCGTAGAAGGAGAAGAAGTACTTGTTAGAGGAAAAAACAGTGGTGGAAGAAAAACACACCTTTACATATAAAAAATTGTTGTTCCGATGTCTGCGTAGTATATACTGGAAGTATTTTGGTTTCCCAGCCACAGATGATGGAGATTTTTTTTACAAAAGTAAAAATTGTGTGCATCTTATGCAAAATGCAAATAGCGTATAATTGCAACACTAGCAATTTACGAATGCATTTCCAGAATAAACATGCACATGACCTTCTGGATTGGAGTCCAATACGCCACCATGTCGTCTGAGTATGAATGCAAGTAGTCACTTAAGTCTCCAAGTGGAATTGGGCCACCACACATCTACACAACAGCAGCAGATGGTACAGTGCAGATAGAAGGTGATAGTCATTAATCTTCAGAACTTTGAAGATGAGGAAAGCAGCAGTAATCAAAACAACGTGTGGGTAGTGTTGAAGGGTAGTAGTCCTGGTCTCTCCAATCAGAATGTGGCAGTCGTTCTCCCAGAAGACAATATTAACAATCATCTTCATGGCATGGCATGATGGATGGTAAGAAAGATATCAGATGCAATAGCAGAGTTAGTTATCCTTGACTTGCAGCTGCTGGATGTTGCGGGGGGCTGTGGTTCCCAGAGGCTTGTTGCAACTCTGAGATCTCCATGCGAAATCCCAAGCAAGACAAAACTTGAAGAACTCTTACCAAAAATTTATGATTCATTTAAAGAGGCTGTCCAGTCTATTGTGCTTGTATCCCTGGCAAGTAAACATCCACCATACCAGATAATAGTGTTATTAATGTTAAATTTGATGGACCGAATTTAAAATAGTGTGCTAAGACTTGTTTCGTAATTAATGTAATTTCATGATATCTATGTAACATGGAGTTGCAGTTGATAAATTAAATTATTTATGTCAGGGATAGTAACCATAAATAAATACAAATTGTGTAACAGTTTGGGATGTAGGGGTGAGTGACAGGTTGAAATTTACATGAATATGTCATTTCCATAATGATAACAATGGTTGCAGTTACTTTATTTTTGCTTCAAAATCTAAAAAAAAAAATAATATTCTCATTGATCTGTTTATTGATTGTGGTTATACAATTTATATATGAACTTAAAGCTGTGGCAGTAGTTTTGCCAAGTTACAAGTAATATATGTTTGCTGTAAAGATAGTCTTAGGTCTGTTATAATTTTTGGACTTTAACCCCTTTACTCTGACTACTACTCCCAGATATTACTAATATAGAAATTAAATAGCTTCTGTATATGACAATGTAAACAAGTCGCACGAAATTTTGGTTTCCCAGTGCATATAAAGTTATGTTTACACAATACTGTAGTCTATTAGAGTGCAATAGCATTATGTCTAAAGAAACATTGCGAGAATTACCAAAATGTGACACAGAGACAAAATGAACACATGCTATTGGAAAAATGGCGGCGATAGACCTGCTCGATGCAGGGTTGCCATAAATCTTCAATTTGTAAATTACGCAACGTCTAGAGATGTGATGAAGGGGGATTGATGGCGTCAGAGTGGTGTGGCGTGGCCGTACGTTTGTTCTTTTGGTGTGGTTAATAGTTAAGTAAGTATTGGCGTATGAATTTTTCTGTGTACCGGTAAGAGTGTAGTTAATTAAATCCGTATCGATACATGAAGAGGCCAGTAAAGTCTAGAGTTACGTGAATTCATTCCACTAGGACGTAAAAGATCTGGGCCATATTTATGGTTGAATTAATTTCATTTAGTAGTTCCCGCCAGTATTTTATATGGTGCTCTTTGTTCCGTAGAACCCGCATGTGTAGATCACATTTATTGTACAATTATAAAAGTAGCTGTGTTACATTTTATTTTGCATTACAGAAGCTGGATTTTTGTGTTCAGTAGATTATTCAATGTGTTTCGACCATAATCAGTGGCGTTCGGCGATACCTGGGTAAGTGTGATGTGAATCCTGTTTATTTATTTCGTCTTAGCATGTAGATCTAATCGAAACCCATATGCGCTTCTAGCACATCAGTTCACAATGCCAATAAAACACATTAATATTTATTGATAGAATACTTTCATGTAAGGATATTTGTTTATACAATAGAATCATACTGCATAACCAAAACTTAGGTCTTACAAATTTTGGGTTGTTTTTTTGACGTAAATACGTCTATACGGAAGGATCATTTGGCAAAAAAGTGAAATGAAAACGTGTTAATATGGATGGACAACAATGGTCAGCTCGTAGTCAAAGCAAATTTAGTCACAATATTATACTAAAGGTTCCACAGCATGACACATGTCACAGAAGTAAGAACAATAATAAATACCTCTAACTTCCAAAAAAAATTTGGGAATAATCAGTACACACTTCTACAAACGATATCTAACCTCAAACTTAAGATTATAGTGTACAAAGTAACTTTAATATGGTCAAAGGTTAATTATTTTGAATAACTAAACTTGTGATTACAGATTGATGTGATTAATTGTAGGACTGTGTGTTATTGGTTTTATGTGCACTATATACACTACTGCAAGACAACTTGTACTTTTTAATTTCTAATTCTCAACTTAATTTTAAATTTTGTAATACATAATTTCAGACAGTGGCAAGGCACATGACCTGGAATTGGAGGCCAATACGCCACCATGTCGTCCGAGTATGAATGCAAAAGAGTAAAGGGGTTAAAGTACAAAGTATGAAATGATGTATCCAATGAAGGTTCTGAGTGACTGAAACTTGATGCCCAGAATTTAATTATACACTGATGTACAACTACTACTCTCAAAGAACTGACATCCTTCACCTATAATGCTAGATTTTTGGTCTGTTACCTTGTGAATTTAGTGAAGTATCATACATTTGTATTCTGTCTCTTGGGTAATCTTCTAAGGCTTGCAGTCACCATAATTGTATCCTGGTCTAGTGTCACACACAATTTTCAAGTTGACTTCAGAGCAGGGGTCGGCAAACTACGGTCCGCGGTCCAAATCCGCCCGGCACCCACTTTTTATACGGCCCGCGAGCTATTTGGCCAAAGAAATTCATCAAATGGAAACATCCAACACGGTTTTGTAGCGGCCACACGCTGTACTGGGAAAAGTGAATGGAATTGGGAAATTTCGTATAAGTATAACTAAAATTAAGATTATTTTATACAAAACGTAGATATTGTAACAATTTTATGACCCTTTTTGCTCATTATTCGGAGAATTAAATGACTCTGAGCAATCAGTTTTGAGCGTGCAAGCGGGCACTAGTTACCACTGACGCCTAGAGGTTTGAGGAACGAACAAAAACCACATTAGTCAATTTTGAAATAAAAATTGCTGAACTGAGGGCACAGTGGTGTTGAGATGTACGAGGTGCGAACGGAAAGTTTCTAGACTGCGCCTATAAAAACGCGTACACTTATCTCAGGTATTAAATTCATCCATCACCCTCGAAGTAGTTCCCCTGGGAGTGAACACAACGATCCCAGCGCCACTGCCAAGCCTGGAAGCATCCCTGGAAATCTTTCTTTGTCAGCCTGTCAAGCACCATCTGCGATTCTGCCTGAATCTCTTCTATCGTCTCAAATCTCCTTCCCTTTAGCTGAACTTTCATCTTTGGGAAGAGGAAGAAGTCACACAGAGCTTAGAAAGGAAGTTGGGGTCGGATCTTGCAAGATCTTTGAGCTCCTGACAAACGAGAAGTCAAGGCGATTCTGCTTCTGGTCCTCAGACAGGATGCGTCGCATGTGGAGTTCTTCCTTTAGAATCAGCTGACAGGCCCCATAGCCTATCCCAACAATGTCGCACAAGTCGTACAAGTGATGGTACGACGTCGATCTTCGTAACAGTTTCGGGCGTTGTGCTCGAAGATGGTCGGCCAGAACGCTCGTCATCATCGACAGAGGTTCGGCCGGCCATTTTTAAAACGTGAATGCCACACAAAAGTTTGTGCACGACCCATTGAGGACTCCCCAAATGCTTGCTTTAGCATTTCATAGGTTTCCGTAGCCGTTTTGGCAAGTCTTTGGCAA